ACTCATATTATAAAGAGGTAAGGAGGTAAGGTAAGTTTGTGAGTTTGTATCTTCGGGGTAATCTCGGAAACTACGGATTCGAATTGAAAAAATATTTTAGTATTGAATATTCTTTTTATCGAGGAAGGATATAAGCTGTATAACATCATGCTACGGCCAATAGGAACTGAGCATCAATGAAAAATAATAATAATACATTTTTAATTTTTAAATTAGTCAAATAGGACTAAGTTAAAAAAACTAAACTTATGTGATACTGATGTCTTTCGTTGTTCTTTACCCTAACTACTATGCCCTATCTCTTTCCCGTTTCCAAATTTACCTTCTCCTTCCTTGCATGGAGTAGCAGTCAAGGTCACTAACCACTAAACCAACAGGCCAGTCCTGACCATAAAAGGCGTTAAAAGAAACCAACCAAAAGACTTTCCGATGTTCCTTATTGCGCCGATCACAAATACAATGAGGAAAAGCATAGGAAAATTATGATTGTTAAATTTTGTATATTTTCAAAAACAACATCATGCATAAATATTATTTACATATTAACAATCATACGTTGAAAGCTAATTATTTACCCAAGAGCGTTGTCTTTATAAAAGAAAAACAAATGACATATTATTTCTTTTGTTTTTTATTTACTTCATTTCATTGTGACGTCATTGTAAAGAACTTTAGCATCGATCTTAGATGGAACGAATCCAACCACAACATACAAACAAGAATCCGAAACAAGATCCTGGATACTTTCTAGGTCTATAATACTCGGAGGCGGCGACAGTCCTGGCACGTTTCCCGCCTTTTGATATCCTGGCGGATATGGACGCTAGGGTCTACGACCAGACTCGCGCGATCCGCCTGGGTGAGAGCGGGAACGACCAGGACGAGCTCGAAATGCGGCGAAACGCTCACCGACAGGCCCTGGCGCAGTGGCGCGCGCGGTTGGAACAGCCGCGGAATGCGCGCCAACGTGCTGTCGGTGCCGTTTTGCCTAACCTCGAAGCTTGGGTAGGAAGGGAGGGAGGTCGCGTCACCTACCGACTGACGCAGGTGCTCACTGGGCATGGCTGCTTCGGTGAGTACCTGAATCGGATTGGACGCGAGGAGACGGCACAATGCCAGCACTGCGCAGCCGACTGGGACTCCGCCCAGCACACGCTTTTTTGCCTAACCTCGAAGCTTGGGTAGGAAGGGAGGGAGGTCGCGTCACCTACCGACTGACGCAGGTGCTCACTGGGCATGGCTGCTTCGGTGAGTACCTGAATCGGATTGGACGCGAGGAGACGGCACAATGCCAGCACTGCGCAGCCGACTGGGACTCCGCCCAGCACACGCTGGAAGACTGCCCCGCGTGGGCATCTGAACGCGAAGTCCTGGTCGATGAAATCGGACGAGACTTGTCCCCGCCAGCAATCATTACTGCCATGCTGGCGGGTGAGGAGGGCTGGGGCGCAGTGGTCTCTTTCTGTGAAGCTGTAATGCTCCAGAAAGAGACCGCTGAACGGGATCGGGAGAGGGCCGATCCCGAGCGAAGAAGACGTCGACGACGTAATGAGCAGCCGACGGGACCGCGGGCCGCCAGAGAGTGGGGACCTCTGGTGGCAGATTAATTGCTGCGGCAGGGGAAAGGATGGCAGCCTGATCGCACTGAAAATGTGATCGGGCTGCAACATCTGGATAGGCTGAGAGGCAGGGAGAAGCCACTGGCTTTCCCTGAGATGGGACCTAGCTAGGTGCGGCGTCGATCTGGGGGACCTGAAATCACATGGCCCGGGTTCTCCCCAGAGCAGGGCGCCTAAGGCTGGCCGTCGGAGTGGTTTTTAGTGGAATCACCACATACTCCTGGCTCCTATATCCCCAAGGAGCCGGAGATCCGAAGGGATTTTCCACTCCGTCAACAAAAAAAAAAAAAAAAAAAAGGTCTATAATACTCATTAAGACAAATCCAACGAGATCAAACAATATGGAGTGATATGCTGTTTTTATGATCAACTCACAGGCCCCTATCTTTATCTTTCGTACAAGCTAAGACAAATACAACGAGTCCAAATACGACAGATTTGATTGGAGTGAACGAGGAGTTTATTTGGATTAACTCTCAAATCCGTCAGGAGACCATTACTATGATACCATTCTATTGCATTGTCATCTTATTTACAGAGTATACAGTTACTAGAACTGGTGTAAAACTCATTTGCAATACTGGACCTATACCAATGGTGGTAAGCTTATCTTGTATGTATGTCTGTTCGTATGTTTTCTCAAAACGAATAGAACCTATATGTTTATTAGTTAGGTCTTTGTGATGCATTTAGGTTTAAATTTCTAATTTATACTCGTTTACTTTTATTTGTTGTGTTTCGATTTCATTGCTTTAAGAAACATTCCTGATCTACCAATGAACTGTAGTGCTATGAAGTACGAAATAAACTAATCGGGACTATAACCAGAGACCTTGAAGTTACCAATATATGCACACATATTCACAGTTAAGTTTTTATAAAAAAAATATTTTATTAAGCACTTTAGTAAGCCATTTATTTCTATTTATTCTTATAATCTTCGTTTTAGTAGTTGCTAACAATATAATAATCAATGGACCGATATTGTGCGTGAATCTCAGACTAACTGAGGTCAGCTTTTAGCTTTAACTTAAAATTCGGTACATGTAAAGTTATGAAATAAATACAGTACTCGCTCCTTGTTGTTTGAATAACGAGTACCAGACACACAACATGGTGCAGTCGGTAGGATACAAATATTAAATAATAGTCATATGTACAATAATAAAATATAAATAGATATCTAAAAGTGATTAAAGGTTAACAACATGGAAAATATCCTAACTCCGCCGTCTCCTTCTTGATCAAAATACGGCAAACATAACAACTGGTACGTTAAATGAAAACTGCAATAAATAGAGCAACGATTTTAAAATTTACTTTGAGGCGTGTGAATTATCAAAGAAAAGTTCAACAATGCAGGTGAACATACTTTTGCAAACAATTGGTGAACAATGCCGAGATTTATATTATATGCACAGTTTAATACGAAATGCACAACAAATGCGAAATGCAATTCAAAGTTGATGAAGTGAATTCTATGCCTATATTAGGTAAATTCGCTGGTGAAGAATTAAATTTGTTAAAACGAATATATTTGATAGATACAGATTTATATAATAATATGTTAGATGAATATCGAGATGTATTTGAAGGGTTAGGGTATGTACCAGATACCTACAAAATTCAATTAAAAGATAGTGTTAAGCCAGTAGTATACACACCTCGTAAAATACCTATAAATACCAAGTTAGAGGAAATGGTGCAACAGGGTATAATAGCGAAAGTGGAAGGTTCAACGGATTGGGTGAATAGTATAACTATTGTAAAGAAACAAATTGGAGATTTAAGAATTTGTTTGGATCCGAAAGAATTGAACTAGGCAATTAAGCGTGAACATTTGAAGAAATTACACATTAGAAGAAATATTACCAAATCTTTCTGGTGCTAAGTATTTTAGTACTCTGGATGCCTCGAATGGGTTCTGGCTGACAAAACTCCACCCCAGTTGTGCAGACTATTGCACATTTAATACACCGTTTTGAGAATGTCTTATGGTATATGCTCTGCAAGTCAGTTTTTTTTTTAATCATGTGTGTGTACATTCATTGATGATTTGTTAATCAGTGGATAAACAAAATTGGAACATGATGGTAGGTTAAGATGTGTGTTAGACAGATGTCGTAAAATAAATTTAAAATTAAATAAAAGCACATGTAAGTTTGGCTGCTTAAAAAAAAACGTAATTCTTAAAAAAAATATTTAGGTTGAAATTTAATTCTAAGGACTGGAGTTTTTATTTTACAATCTCACATTACCCAAATACATTAGGGCAAATTTTATGACCTAGATAAGCTTTGTGAAAGCGACCCAACCTTTTAGCGATTTTATTCTTTTTGTTTTACAGCAAAAAGCCGAATGAGCCATCGCTGATTTAATACCGACATTAATTTGCATAGAAATAAGTCAATTTGGTCATTTTTAAAGCCCTGCCGTAAGACAATTGCTATAAATTACCTACTATAGGAATATTGTAGGTTATTTATAGCACGGTAAACAGTAGTCTAAAATAAAGAATTATTATGTCAACCAGAGATCGATTGGCGGTCAATTTTCAATGTAATATGTTTTCATTAACCAGTATAATTTAAACTGTCGTTGTATAGACTTCTTTACCATGATAAGTCAACATATAAACTGATTATTCAGAAATGTTTGCTTTCTGCACTTCTACATTTAAACATTTTGAATTCCAAATATGAAATGCTCTCATATCATATTGTTTTAAAAAGGGATACACAGTTTTTTTTTACGTTTTAGGTAATTTATGGGTGCATATACGATTGCGTTGTTTAAAGTGTATTGTACTGTGTTATAGTTTTTTTGAACGACTTGACTTGACGATTGAACGACAGTTAGTCATTGTTTTAACTTGCACGTGCTATGCTACACGAACACTTTACCGGGAATCAATGCAATCGCTTAAATGGAACCTTTAAAACGCTAATAGTGGTCTTTGACCATGGCTAATATGAAGTGGTCGAAACCTGACGCAGTTTAGTACGTAGAAAGATACTAAAACTGTTAAATCCGCATTCTATAATTTGTTTTAATTCCTGTAACATTTCATTAATGATAGCAAATAAATTAGACCGAATGAGTTTTACTTGAATTCCTAAACTTTTATTACTAGTCTATGTGCACTTTGTAACTGTGTCTAATGAATAAAATATTTTAATGGCGTCTCTCTGTTCGGCTTGGCAATATAGTTGATTTTTTTCAATTTTATTCGCCTTTAGCTATGAAATTTCAATGTCTGTGTTGATTTTTTTTAGAAATTTTAAGTTATAAATGTTGCAATTGTCATATTTTAATTCCATAATTAAAAATATAAAAATAATGAGTTAATAAAAAAAAATACAACAATATAAAAATACTTACTAATTATCTGAGCATCGTCACTCATGTTCTTCCTGCTACTTAATCGTAAACACGACTGCAATCACGAATAAAAAACACATTATAATTTAATAAAATTTTAAACTTATAAACAATATAAATATATATTTTTTTGCATATTTAAATAAATTTTTTTAATAAAAATAGTATATATCGACGCACCATTGTAGAGTTACTTTTTGATTTAAAAAATGTTTTAAAAATGGAAATTAATTGTAATAAGCCGGAATTGGCGGTCTCTGGCAGAGATGCGCGCGGCGTGTAACAAACTAAACTGGCCGTTTAGAGACACGTTCGAATTTTAAACGAAGTGTTACGGATACAATGCTTGGTCGAAATTTGTTTTGCTTGACGTAGGCTTGTAGCGGCGGCAACTAATAATTTTTCACTGTTTTTCTGTTTAAACCTGACTTTTATTTTCATTCTGCGTTTTGTTGCTAAATTTAGCCGTATAGATAGTTTTAAAATATAAAAAACCGATTTACAAGCCTGAGACATCTATTTAAATCTACAGCATCTATTTAAAACTTCATGACAAACAAAATGAATGTGCGCCTCTCTGTAGGTAATAATATGATGAGAAAAACAAAAGAAATACTAAGTGTTTATGTATTTAGGTACGAGAATACTGATGGTTTTCACCTCAGTGACGAATATTGTGTTCTGTATATCAAATTGAAAATAAGTATTCTGGGGTAGAGTATTATAACGTATGTGTGTAATCGTATTACATGTCGTCTACCTCACACGGTAGCATGTTATAAATTGAAATGGATTTATTCAAACGGAATTTCCCCTGATATTTTGTAATTCGTATATTCATATGCTCTCAGGCGAAGCTCCAGATACAATTTATCAGTATGTACAGCCTTCGAGGATGTTGTTATTTATAAAGAAAAAATCATTCAAAGAAATTGCTATTACAAGAGCTAGATTAAGTAATGGTAACTCTTTGAAGAAATATTTAAATCAGGGAAAGAGAAGAACTATAGCGATGTAGGTACGTAAAAGAAGAATTAAATTTGGCAACATAATCTTAAGTCAAAAACCTGGTGTTAATATTATAATAATAACCTAATACATCTCACACACTACCGTCTGATCCCAAACTAGGTAGAGTCCGTATTATGGTAACGAACTACTGATAGACATACTAATATTTTCTTCTAAAATAAATATATATTATGGATACAAAACCAAAAAAATCTTACAAGTATTTATTTTGTACTGGATGAGAATCGAATCCACGACCTCTGGCTGCTGCTAGTCCTACAGGCCCCTGACTAAATATTATATTAGTATCATTATTCACTCCTCTTTATACAATATTTGTCAGTTGTCATGTGCTTATCTTAGTGGCCCTTTCAACCACATCAAACTACAGCAATATTAGTACCGTGCATGCAGCATGCCTTACCCTATGCCTCAAGGTATCTCTTTACTTCATCAGACCGAATCATAAATTAAATAAACCAAAATCTTTTGTATTGCTCTTAATTATGTTGGGCATGATCATTATGGTATTTTTTTTTTTTAAAGACAACCCTCGCATTAGAAATATATCCTGTGTCGCGGGGGACTTAAAGACAGGGAGACACAGAGAACACCCAGACTCAGAACAACAATTTGTTGATCACACAAAGTGTCGTCCCATGTGGGGATCGAACACACAACACTCAGCGTAGTAGTAAGTGGCGTGGCGACAACTTAAACATCTACGCCATCCGTGCAGTCCAAAATTTTAGTCAGAATGAGTTCAATTACCAAACGTGGTATGTATCCTAAATCTAGTTCTTTTCCTTACGTAACTATACTCGTTAAAAGGCTCCGAAAGTCGTGTTTTCATCAGAGGAAAGATTATCCATCCGTCATGTCACAGCCCATTTCCTTTCTCTTGACACCATTGAATCTAGATTTTTTCAAGAAGTTTTCTTTCCAGTAACCCAAAAACCATTTTCTTAGTCTATTGCCAGTCATAGTTACGGCTTTGTAAGCTGGTAATCTGTACAAGTCCATATCTATATATCTACCAAAGAAGAAAAAATTTTAAGTACGTTCGTATATGTTTCTTCGTCGCAGCCTGATAAACTCAGACTGCAAAAATAACCTTGAATGTAAAAGACCAGAAAAATGATTCTTCTTTCTGTCAGAGGTATTTACCAGATTTCGTCAACCAAATACAAAATCATAGTAAAATGTCTACACTAAAAACAATCTGTACTATAAATAACATATAATAAACATACAACGGAGTATTGTAGAACATAGTTTAAATGAAGTCCATACAACTTTTGGCTTGAAGGAACCTAATGATTTCTTAATAGCAGATTCGTGAAAAGGCTTACATCGGTGTAAAAACGTTTACATGACAACACAGTTTTTTAATGCAGTTTTGTCCCGGTTTTCATTTCCGACGTCACGACGAGAATTATGAAAAATTGTGCACAAAACTTGTCGATGACGTAACCCAATTGCCGCCTCCCGTTTACGGACAATTTAGTTCAATAGAAACACACATGTATTGTACTACATAAAATTATAAAGAAAATAGTTAAAAACTATAGACAAGTCGTTTCAGTAGGCAAAAAGCCCAAAAACTTTTTCATAAGTCTTTGATTTTGTTGCGTGTAATTTATTAGTTTTTTCTTTTGCCAATCTTTTTATGTTCATTATTATTTATCAACCTCGTTGAACATGAAAATAAAAATATTGAAATTATGTCAAGACGTAATTTATGATCAAGTTACGCATTTTATTAATACGACAAAATGCGGAAATTTTAGGACTTTGCTTCCACAAATACACCTATTTATATTTAAGTTTTTTATTTTTACATTTTTTTGTTTAATTCTCTATGCATAAATTACATTTAATTGTACAATAGCGGACTTCATGCGCCAGGCATTTGTGTGTACCATTGGGTAGCGCGGAAATGTCTGAGTAGGAGAACAATTTTTTTTTTTTAAAGAGATAATAGTAATATACACAATTAAATACACATACAAATTTAATAATATCACTCACATATCTTACACCCGGCCGTCTGATCCCAAACTAGGCAGAGCCTATGGTAACCAGACTGCTGATAAACATACTTATATATTTTTAAATACATAAAGATTATAGATAAATTACACCTATACACAGAACAAATGACCATCCTCATCACACGATATTTGTCCTGGGTGGGAATCGAACCCACGACCTCCGTGGCTTAGTAGTCAGGGTCACTAACCACTAGACCAACAGACCCGTCAAATACTTGTTAATTTACATAAAAATGTATATACATATATATCAGACAGTTCTAACCAAATTGTTTTATGTTTTTGATCTATGAGTAGTATTGGAACAAACGCAGCAACATGCACATGTCTGTAAGATAATGCTTTTCAAATTGACACTGTTCCTTTGTCTATAACAAAAAAGCATGACCGTGAATCATCGAAATGCGTTCCAACTAGCATTAAATACGAGCTTGCCCCAATCCAAACTGACTACATATTAATCAATCAGACCACATCTGTGCATCAACATTCGCATTCATTATTCCGTATTAAGTGACATTGTGTTATAAATTAAATGTAACAAATGAGCATTCTCTACTATGCTCTACTAAATCTTTCTTAACACATAACCGTGCACCCATTATAATTATACTAGACGATCTCTGCGGCTTTTCCTGCGTCTCTACTCCACTGCTGTAGTTAATATCATGACTTTACATAGCCAATAACCAAGAGTTAAGGTAAATAAATCATCTGTATATATGTAAGAATGATAATTCGGTTTGTGTAGCTTTAAAAACTCAACAAGTTCTGCACTGATTGACCTCAAATTTTGACACCATGTTACAACCCGTTTCAAAGATATTTGGAACGAAGTTCCTTATCGCGCGTTGTGAAAGGGGGCTAGACGGAAAAAAATCTCACGAAAAGTTGTAACGACACTTTTTATGTCAGTCATTCAGCGCCATCTATCGAATAGATAGGAAATCATTACTTTTCATCTCAGTATTTATTTTGAATTGTCACTTGTCAGTCATTCAGCGCCATCTATCGAATAGGTAGGAAATCATTTCTCAAGGGGATTTTACTAATGTATAAATTGTTTTAATTAGAAACCAACTGAAAAATATGTAGGTAATAGCCGCTTTCACAGATGGCGTTGTAATTAAAATCGTGTCGAATCAGTTTTACTCGATCGTCACAACTTCGTTCCTATCGGGTGTCCCACGACACCACATGGCTTTTTATTTTTATCTATTTTTCGTGACAGGTTTGTTTTTTATTTTCATCAATGCAACCACAATGTGCCACTGCAAAGCTCGGCAGGGTACAGCTAGTATTTTATATAAAATACATTGAGACTTTTAGACCTTAACGTAATTATCGAAATAAATGCAGAACCCCTTTTGCTATTGTTCAACAAACTGTTTGATTAGATTTATATATTGTGACAAAAGTTGATTTATTATTATTTAATCTGTCAAAAATACGACACTTGAACATCCAAGTCTCGCAAGTTGTAAAGCAGTTACGAGTTTTAGTTATTGCTTAATTCGCTAGTCTGAAGTAATATTATAAATGCGAAAGTCTGTCTGTTTGTTTGTCTGTCTGTCTGTCTGTTATTTTTATGCTTAAACCGCTAAACCGATTTAGATGAAATTTTGTATATAGATAGTTTGAATCCCAGGAAAGGACATAGGATAGTTTTAATCCCAGAAATCATCATTTAAAGGGCATTAAAAGGGGCAGGAGTTTTTATGGGGAATCAATAACCGCTGAATCAATTGAGATGAAATTTGTTATGTATATAGTTTGATTCTTGAGAAAGGACACTTTATACAGCGATAACCGACATACACGAGGACGGAGCCGCTGACTTAAGCTGGCTTAAGTCGACTACATGAACTACCTTTTAAAGTAACCTTGTTAGTAGTTTACTTACATCTTTATATCTCCAATAAATTGGATAACTGGTCCATCGCACAGCAATATTGGTCTAGTGGTTAGTGTCCCTGACTGCTAAAGCCGGAGGTCGTGGGTTCGATTCCCACCCAGAACAAATATTGTGTGATGAGTACAGTCATTTGTTCTGTGTCTGGGTGTAAATTTATCTATAATATGTAACTATTTAAAAAATATATAAGTATGCTTATCAGC